AAATAAGACAAGACGCGCAGGAGTTGCCTATACCTCCATGGCAACGTCGACTCCAGCGCCCGACTCGGCTTTCGGAGATGAAGCGTCCCTGGTGTTTCCCATGCTGGTATCACCATCACCATCTTCTTTAGGGAGATCTGCTGGAGGGGGCGGAGGAGGAGGCGGTGGGGGTGTAGATTTCTGTCTTTTCGAGGGAGAAGCGGCTCCTTCTTCAGCACCGTCGACATTCAAGACTCCGTTTCGCTTGCGTTTGAGAGACGCGTCATCGTCTTCCGGGGGAGAACTCGCAGACGCACCCGCGACAGCTTCATCGTCACCTGTGCTAGGAACCTCGCTTCCGGGGTTTGGGGTGGCGTCCTGCGACTTCTCGCCCTCCTGCTTCTCGCGATCTACGTATTTGGCTGCCGCCTTGCGGAAGAAGGTCTTGCAGTAATTTTTGACGGTTTGCTGGTGCTTCGCGGAGATCTTCGCGGTAGGGTCCTTGACGCGATTATTTTTGTAATCACTTTCAACGAGCTTCTTCGCGGTCTATTAATGAGGATGTCAGCAAATTGAAATCGCACCAGAAAGAATCGAAGGGAGGACCATGAGCTTACCTCCTTAGCAAATCGTTTGAGATGATGGTCGGGGATCTTATGCTTGTATTGATCCACCACAGGCTTGATATGCGGGAAAAGCTGTGCTATGTTAGTCTAGTTATATCTCGTGTTTTGCGTGAATACTCACAGTGTTCTCGTAGATTCTCTTCTGTTTCTCCAATGGAAGCTTCCTCCACTTCTCTCCATCTTTATGTCTTTTCTCCGGTTGATCAGCGGAAGGCCGAGGAGTGACGGGCGTATCAGTTCGGTGCTCGGAGGGTGTGTCCTCCTGGGTGTTCATAATCCCATCAATGATACTCTGCAATGCCAAGTTCTGTTGATTTTTAGCAGGCTGACCTGGCGCAGGAGTAACAGGAGTAGCAGGCAACGTTGGCCGTTCCCATGTGGTTTTCCCTGATGCAGAGTAGTAGTAAATGCGGCCATCCGCCTCCGCAGTATACCATCCCTCGGGCAATGGCCGAGGGCCACGACGGTTGGGTTGTCTGGACCGCTGAGGACCTCGTTCTCTTCGTTGCTGCACTGGTCCACGAGGAGCATCGTACACAGGAGACGGAGAGCGAGTAAGAGATCGCTGGCGCTGCTGTTGTCCAGTTTCGCGGCGCTCGAACTGGTTAATTGCCTGCTTCGCGTCCTTGCCGCGTTTCATGCGCGGGATTCGGTAGGCGACTTCCAGACCAGACCAGCTCTCGAGAAGGGCGGCCGCTTTCTTCGCGACTCGCTCATCATCGCAGGTCGTCAACGGCCGGATGTTCGTCTCAATCTTGGAGTCCTGGATCTTGTTCCGGGTGAGTCGCGGGAACCCGTCGAGGATGTTCAGGATCTGCAGAACCACGTTCTGATCATCCTTCCATTGAGCGAGCTGGGAGTTCAGGATCTGGTATCCGTGCATTCGGACCACGCGATTGCGAACGCGTTCATCGTCACAGCGCTGGATACGGCCTAGCAGTTTGACCGCGATCCACTTCTCCTGGCACTGAACAAGAGCCGCCATGACCTTGGTCACACCATCTTCATCCAGCGACTTGGGCTGCACGCTGTCCACATACTCCTCGTCGTCCTCTTCCATCTTCTTCTTCTTAGGGCGTTTCGCCACCACGGTATCCCAACCATCTGCCTCGTCAATGCCAAGAGCCTCGATAGTTGCATTGGACAACTTGGTCGCACGCTCAGTCTGAGTGCGTCCACCGATGAATCCCGTGCACATTGGCTCCCCACAATAGCAGGGCTGGGGGTCGGCACCATATCGATCAACATTGTAGTTGAAAACCAGCTCCTCACCGGCCTGAACCGCGCGTTCAGCGAAAATTCCCATCCGTAGCTTCTCGCCCACAACCCATTTGTCAACATAGCAATTGGGATTGCACGAGTGATTGCAGAATCGGCCCAGGTTGCCTCGCTTGGTCGCATCGACAAACTCGCCCTTGTTCAAGGACATGAAGTAGAAGTGCTTGATGCCCTCCTCGTCATATTGTCTCATGCGCTTTCGAAATTGCTGCTCTCCCACAACCTCACCGACATATTCGTAAATCAATTCGCCCGGGTCGAGATTCTTTTCCGCGCGCAATCCGAAACCCTTTTTTTCTGTTTTGATGACGGCAACTGGTGCAAACTGTCTTTTTTGAAACCGTTGATTTTGGCAGTCGGAGCCACAGCCGCAGTCGCCCGCACATTCGATCTTGGTCGCGCGATTGATGCAATCCGAATCCTCGCCACATGCGATATTTTGACCAATCTTCGGATCTACAGAGTGGATCAGTGATATGCTCGTGGAGGTTCCATCAGGCCGGGAATCGGGCAAGAAGACAGCGAGGCTACTCGAAAACCAAACTTACCCCACTCTTCAGCGCAATCACATTCCATGGCATGTTCGGTGTAGCCCATATATTTGTTGGCGTAGGTACAGCCGGGGATCTGTTCAAAGGTGGCGAGCGCATCCTGGGTGCTATCTGGCAGGTGCGTGTACAGCGGCGGAGGTCGCGACGCGACTTTTTGCGACGAGCTGCGAGACAGCTTGAGCGGTTGGCCCGGTTCCCGTTTAAGAACGATGTCGCCAACGTTTTCCTTCATTGTATGGGATGGGTCGGAGTTGGGGGAGGACTCTTTTTTCGGAGGGAGAGGAGATCGAGATGAGGTACGCGACTCGCCGTTTTTCAAATGAATGCCGTTTACCGGAGAGTCCCGCTCCATTTTGGCAGGAGCCTCTTCAGAGTCCGCGTGGCCATGGGCAGACATGACAACACGGACTACGATTGGAAGATATGGAAAGAGAGAGAGAGAGAGAGAGATAGAGCAAGAGGAAGAAGAAAATAAAGCAGAATACGAAGTTCGGGGACGATTCTGCCAGGATATGCCCTCGGGAATCAAGGGGGTTCCAGAGCGGTCAAGGTAAGAAACAATCTCATTGATAAAAATCTCCTAATTTGACTGAAATCGAAGCTATTGTCATTTTCGGTGTCTCACCGCCTTGAGCCTACTCTCACTGTCTTGTATAGACCTGAATCATCTCGGTTCACCAGTGGTGGTTGTATGTTGTATAGGTGGTATGGTATAGTGGTCTTGATTTCACTTCCCACTCAGGCTCATAAAGAGCATACCTGGAATAGGCATGGACCAATTCTGGTAGAGTAGTGGGAGAGTGACCATAGTCATTCCTCAATCCCAATTGTGGTTTAACATTTATGTGGTGATTTCCACACGGGAACTGTGACAGGGTTGTTCAAGGTCAGCATAAGCCTAAAGTGATATAGATGGAAACGAAGAAAGACCAGACAAGGGGAAATGTAAGAAAATCCAAAAGCGTGAAAGTTATGAAATCGATTGGAGGAGAAAGCAGGAAAAGGCGCGTCTGCATGTGTGTTGTTCGTCAACGTGGAAGTCTGTGCGTTTCAAACTGGTTTAGTATATGGATGACATAGATTACGGGGATTACACATCAGATACGCTGTATCATGATACTGTTCCTGATAATACCAGGCACAATACGCATGGGATACCGATGTGATATCAAATGTGATATTGTAGGGCTCCCTGCCTCAGGCTGTCCTTCTATATAATCCCGTGCTTCTTCATCCTCTCTCCTCTTCTTCATCTTCTTCATCTCCACCATCTTCACCATTCCCCCCTAATCAATTACCTGTATTTTACCAAGAACCTCATGGCTGCATCTCGGCGGAGTCCGCCTCTCCACTCGGCTCATCTCTGCCAATCGTTCTGGCCCCATTTTCATCAGAACCCGCTGCATGACAGACGCGCTTTTTTTCTCTGTACGATCGCCCACTCTAACCGCCCCTGAGGCTAGCTTCAAACAAAATCATTTTTCACTGCATTTTCTGCATTTTCTTGGGGCGTCCCAATGTCCCGGGCCCATGTTGGCACCTATCAAATCCCATTCTCGGCTCCATGATTCCACTCTTTGCTGGAGAAGACCCGACGAAACCAAAATCATGCACTAAAATTGCCCCCAAAAAAAGAAAATATAACGCTTCGTCAAACTGTCCCTTGGTTCTGGAACTGCCAGGGCCAACCGTTTCCCGAACCAACGATGCAATTCGGCGAGATCTAAGCCTATCTTATACATTATATTGCCTGGGCATTCCCAGCCCATACAACCCTATGCAGAAGACCTCATCTGTTCGATACAATGCAGCCCCCACTCCATTCAACCCCTCGATTGTACTTTCGGAGGAATCAGAAATCCAATCTCCCCGCTTCCCGGTCTTCTTAGTGGTAATTTTGCCTTTTTCACGTTCTTCGAAACTCTTCTGGAAAACAATATGAAACTTGGCCCGGCTGAAACACCCCCATTTCTATTCACCTGTGGTATATACTTTACCAGATTCTTCTAACCTGTACTGTAACACTCTCCAGAAAGCATCGTCCCTGCAGCTTCCCTCCCGAACGCTGGTCTCCTGCGCGATCCCGGCTGCTCAAGTCCGTTTGGCTAGAAATTCTTCCTGGAAAAAATCCCAGAAAAAAAAATAAATTGGGGATTTTGCATGGAGTTTGGTTTGGCTGCTCTTTTTTCATTTTCTTTGGCTACAAAGCCTTCAATTGTCAGATCATTCGTTTCCCTCTTGTCATCCCTTTTGTTTCGTCTCCGCGTGGAAGGATATGGGGACATAAGACATCCTCTCGTTCTCTGGCGCGTGTCTTTTGATTGAATTTTTTTCTTTTTTAATTCTTTCTCTCTCGCTCTCTTCGCTTTTCCTCTCGAACATATATGAGAGATCAATTGATCTGAATTGTGTATCACGACCTTGACGCCGTTCGCTGTCCTGTTTCCGGGATCATCTGGGAGGCTTTCTTTGTTTTTGTTTTTCTTTCTTACTTTCTTTCACGTTATATTTCTTTTCTTTTCAGGGGAAAGGGAAGCCGGCTATAATCCGCTTCCATGGTCTGGATATGTCGAATCTATCCGATAGGCCATGGACCGAGGAGGACAAGGTATGGGCATTCTTTAGCCGATGTGAATGTGATGCTGACCAAGAACTAGTGCACTCTACTCACCGAGATCCTCAAGAAAGCGGGATTTCCTTCCAGCTATCTAGTACGGATGATCAAAGAATATGGGATTACTCCCAACTGGGAGCATATTCCCCTTCCTCAAGGTATTATCGTCCAATTGCCGGCCAAAGAAAAAGAAAGGGAAGGATAGCTTGATCAATATCAACATGGCGCTAACACCTGCCCCGGTCAAGGTCGTTCACTCAGCTCGTGCAAAACGGCCTATCTCAATATGGTTCAGCAGCCCGTGCACCCTCCAACACAGCCAGTGGCTTCATTCCCACCACCATCCGATATGACCGGCCCACCAGCCCCAATGGACCCTAGCACCATGCGCAAGCGGCCATTGCATCCTTCCGACAAGCCAATCCCTCGTGCAATCCAACCAAGGCCACCAGCCAGCACCGCCTCTTACAGCAGCGAAAGCGGCGCATCAGCCCAGCTCTCCCCGAGACTAGATGTCGCCCCCGGCGAACCACCCCGTAAACGAGGACGCCCAAGCAAAGCAGAGACCGAGCGACGAAAGCTCCTAGCCGAGGCCCGTGGTGAAACTTACCCAGCCCCCCGACGGTCAGGGTGGTCTCGCAGACTCAAAGTCCCTTCTTCACCGACCAGCCCCGCGGCAGGCCCATCGTCTACACCATTCCCGCCGGCACCCCAAGCATTTCACGGACCCAAGCCAAGCCCAGCCCCAACTCTCTACGACACTCCAACCATGCACTCAGCAGTCCTACCACCTGGCCCCGGTCCCGCGCCAAATGACGAGCGCCGCGATATGCCACCCCGCATGAATATCAACATGCGTGAACTACCCCGGCCCACAGAGATGGTCCATCCCCTCCCTTCACCACATGCCTTACAACTAGGCCCTCCAGACGCCTTCCCTAGATTCAGCAACCCAGCCGAGCGGCCCTACAGCTTTGCAGCAGACCGGTTCTCCCCGTCAGACAGTAGTCGGCGCGATTCGCTCACTCGGCCTGACCAGCCAGCACCATACTCGGAACGAACGAATACAACTCAAGCCGAGAAACCTCCACGATGACCATTTGATTTTGATACTTTTTCTATCGTCATTTTCATTTTCATTCTCATTTTTACTTCGATCCCAGTCTGGGTTATTTTCGACTTTCGATTTCAGCCTTTGTTTTTTGAGGCCCAAGGGCTATGAATGAATGATAAAGCCATTGATGAACAATAGACAGCGTTCTCGTGTTGTGTTTATTGTGCGCGGTTTTTCTCCAAGCTCTTCAAGCGACTTCTTTCAACACCTCCGACTTTCTCCCTTCGACAATTCATCACTCTCTCATTTTGCCCATGTGTCTGCCAACCTAGGTACAATCTACCTAAGGTCAGATAGACCACAAGACGAGAAATGCTTCTCTTTCCCTTCTCCCCTTGACAGTGACCTTCATACATCCATCGATGCGTCCACGAGTTCCCCACGTTCGATGAAGATAATGCTTTCATATTATTGATATTCGATTTCCTATGATTGAATCTTCACACCATTGCGTCCCCAGTTCAAGCAAGCGAGACTTCCACTGCTTTCCTTCTACTCCCGCTCTCCATTCGTCTCCTAGGCACACATTCTCAATATTGTGAAGCCTACCCCAAGCCCCACGACCTAAGACAATACAAGACGTTTACGCCAATTGATGCCCTCCATGCCTAGCATCTTTCTTTTTATCTTCTATCTCGATGTTATACCTTCTGTTTTCTGCTCTCTGCTTTTTCTTTCTCCCTCCAGCCCAGCCCAATGTCTAGCGTGCTATGCATTTGATGACGATGATGATGCATTATGTCTATTGCTACTACATGGCGATGGCGGTTCTTTGAGCCTTCCAATTTTTCTGCTTAAGGCATGTTTAACCTGTATTTTATCCTACTTCTGATTTTGATATTTTGATGATGTTTTGGCTCCCTGTTTTGGATTTGGCCTTTGGCTTTTTTGTTTATTCCCTTCTATCTCGACTCTCCTTATAGGATGATGTCTTACACTCTTTGTCCTAGTCTATAATGAATTCAGAGTATTTAATATCACACATATATCCTTTTGTTCTCGTTCTTCATTCTTTATTCCTTGTAAGTTAAACATGGCTTTTGCTAATGTAGGCGCATTTCGAAACTGGATCTTTACACCATCGTATTCCTAATATTTTGCATCAAAGTTCTGGTTAACAGAACCGAGAGAAAGATACGCAGGTGTTCGTATAATGGAAAGCGGTACTTACTCTCAGCCTCAGACTCATACAGTGTATCAGTCCACTACGTATGCTAGATTACACTGCACACTATGTATGAATGGATGGACGGACATCTGGCCTAGCGGTGTCGTTGGCGACGTTGGCGCAATGCCACTATGGATCCCCGTCCATCCATCCTCAGCTTGAGTGCCGTTTGATCTCAAGTTGCCGGATCGCATACTGGCGATGACTTTTTTATTTTTTTATTATCGGGGCCTTGGAGTCTAGAACCGCGCTTTCTGTATTTTATAGAGTTTCACAGGCCATACTTCGTGATGGTGCCCGCCATGGTCGCCGCTCTCACACACATTCTAACGAGAATTCACGAAAATGCTCCTTTCAAAAAAGTTTGCCATGTGTATGCTGAAGGCAGTGCATATGCCTTGAATATAACGCTATCTCGATACAAAGAACCCAAGCTTCACACAATTCTATCCAAACAACACCTCCTATCACTCTGCACCATCAGACTTCCCACGAACCCGATCAAGAATCCGCCGCAGCTGGGCCTTGGAATCTTTCCCCTCAGTAGACGACACACCTGTCGCCTCGAGCGAAGACGGCTCAGGCTTAAGTAGAGCCTGGGATGAGACGGACAGACGTTTCGGAGGATGAGGGTGAAGCTCGCGGTTCTGCGAGGAACCTCTATCTTTACTTCCCTCCCCACCCTGCTCCTCCAACTCCCCGGCCTGTCTTTTCTGCAGCATCTGCGAGCGTACCGCGTTAACGGCATGCCCGAAGCCTAGGGATGTTCTCGGCAGAGAAAAAGGAGTAAATTCGTTCCCAGTTTGAAGATCCAACTCCTTCTCTTTGGCCAGTTTCACCACTTCGTCGCTGTTTTTCTCAATGACGCGAGTCAGGTACACCTTCGGGCCGGTGTCGCGGTCTTTCAGGTTGTGCTTTATGCGATCTAGTTCCTTCCTGTATGCTGTTTCGTAGATATTGAAATCGGCAGCGCCGGGCGATTCACTGACGAACTGTACCGGCTCATCGTCCTCCATCTGGTCAGAATGATCCATTGAATGTTCCAACGTTTGGAGAATGGACCCCGGATCGCCACTAATTTCCGTACCAACCGCTTCCGGCTGCGAGGAGCCGGTGTATGTAGATGGCCCAATGAAGAGGTAGGGAAATTCCTCCTCAAGTGGGTCACGGGCATGCCCTCTCGTCCCCTCTAAGCTGCGCTTAGTTCTACCCGAGCTTGCTCGCGAAAGAGGGATATGGGGTGATCCCGATTGAGAGTGGGGCAGGGCTTCGTGACCGATATCCGGTTGAGCCGATCCCCAACTGCGGATCGAGCCGGAGTCTTTTCGCTCGGGCTCGAACACGCCGCTGGGTCTTTTGCTGCTGTTCGGGCTGTACTCCGGCCGGGATGAAAAACTGGCCGAATCGCTAGACCCGAAACCTCCGGAATCGTCTCGGAGTCCGGCAAAAGGTCGCCGGCCGAAGTATTTGCGTACTCCTGCACTGAAGTCATGGCCATCATGTGTTTGTGGAGCCGCTCCCACGGCCGGGAAGGGTTCGTCTGGGTCCATTTCCATTGGTGGCTCGACAAAGTAGGCATCGTGATCGCCGCCTAGAATGCTCTTACCGAACGTACTTTCAATGGGGGATTGTGGTTTGGTCGGATCTGTTAGTCGCTTGAATCTTTTGACCGCTTTCACCTGGGCCTTGTTAATGGATATACTATCGAACGAGGAATATAACATACCACGGTCATAAGATTTCCCATGTTTGTTGTAATAGCCGAGTTCATTTCCTCCTCTGTCGGTGGCTCGATGGGCTGCGATGTGTTCTCTTCAAATGACAGCAAAGGATCCGTCCCATCCTTCGTTACCCAGGGATGCTCCTGTTGAATCTGGTCAGCATGGGCAAGCAGTGCAATTGCGATTGACTCACTCGTAAACCAAACATGTCGATCCGCTTCTCTGGATCTTTCTCGAGAATCCGTTGCATCAGATCTTTGAATTCTTCATCTGATTCTTCTTCGTAGTCCACGGGATCTCCCCTGATACTATCATACAGCTCGAAGATGCTCTGCTTCTCAAATGGCAGCTTTCCATATCGCAGACAATATAGCGTTACTCCCATCGACCAGATATCCGTCGCCCGTCCGGATACATCGCCATGTTTGACCACGCACAGCTCTGGTGGGAGAAATGCTGGTGACCCAGCTGACTTGCCAGTGAACATGTTTGAATCTTTTTCAAACATCTCGGATACACCAAAGTCAACCACTTTCAGCATATCGTCGTTGGTGACCAGACAGTTGTCTGGTTTTATATCTCGATGGACAATGCCCTGCGAATGCAGATACTCGATTCCCAAGATCAGATCACGGAACCAACATCGACATTGCTCATCGTCGTATGGGTCTGCTCTCTCTTCCAGCCCGACCTTCATGACGACACCCTTCTTGCACATTTCCATCACCATATACAACGAGTCCTCTGTCGGATCGTCCAAGACTTCGATCAATGACACCAGATTGTTGTGGTGCAGTTTCTTCATGATAGCAATTTCCTCCTTGATCAGATATAAAGGATTCTCTCCGAGCTCCTTATCGTCACCGGAAGGATGTCGATGTAATGGCGAGTTGAACTCCGTCCCTGGTCGAATCGGACCTCGCGGTCTTCGCAGCAGATGCGACTGCGCACGTTTCCTTAGTCTAGACTTGGAGAATTCTTTGACTGCCTAAATTTACAGACAGTTTATCTCACAGTTAGCATGTCCACTTCCCAGCATATCCCGCAAGTTCGTGCTCATACGTATTCATTGCCAAACTGATCTGCAGCCAGATGGACAGCCCCAAACGATCCACGTCCGATCTCCTGTTTGATCACGTATTGGTTGATGCGATGTTCCGCAGTACCGTCGTCTTGGCTCGTGTAATACTCGGAGCGGGCGTCCAGTGTTTCCTAGTCCGCGGTATCAGTTCTCCGAAGCTGTCATAACGGCATTGAGAGACTGACCTTCACCGGACGCCTTGCTCTTGGGTTTCGTCGTCGGTGCCTCCCAGTGCTATCATAGGATGCAGAAGACCTAGTTGCAGAATGGCGTCAGCGAAAATGAATCTTCCGCGGTTGTTTCATAGTCAAACTCACCCAACTCTGCTCGCCTGGGGGCGCGCATCGTTCACCCCCTCCAGTGAGATGGTAGAGGGCTCTGCGGAGATATCCGACATAGGGGTTGCCATTGCCTGATTTTCGTCCATTGAAATAAACTTATCATCAAGCACTGGTAGGAGACGTGTGGGGTAATGAGGAAGTTCGAGCGGGGGATTCGACGTAGGAAGCGAAAGGTCAGCCTTACGAGACCCTCTTTGCGGGGATTGGACAGAAGCGAATAGAATAAATGATACTAAACCCTATGTACGGAAGTCAAATTAGAGAAAGACCCGGTCGAATCGCAAACGCCGAAGAAATCCTAGGCTGCTCCTTTTTGATATGGGCTTTTGTTATCGATAGGGGATTTCACCGCCTGTCAGCCTTGGAACTCCCTTGAACATCAACAACAACTTGTTTCAGGTCACACAATACACAATGGTCGTCTACTCGTTCTACATCTTTGATCGGCATGGTAAACACGCTTTATATAATGAATTCATCTTCATATACTAACTGCGATTCAGCGGAATGCATCTACAAGCGTCGCTGGCTTCCACGCCCGACCTCCATCGTGGGGAAGTCCCGGTCTAACACAGTCACCGACGCACCGCCGACCGGTCTCGGCCAGACAGTGCGCTCGACAGACGATGATTCGAAGCTGGTTTTCGGCACGGTATTCTCGTTGCGGAATATGGTGCGCAAGCTAGGGGGTGAAGAAGACAAGTAAGACTGCCCCTGAAGCAAGCCAGACGGGGTGCTGGCTTTTAGACGGACGGACAAACCCGATGCTTACCGCAACTAGCTTTGTGTCATTTACCACCAGCCAATACAAGCTTCACTACTACGAGACACCGACGAATACCAAGTTTGTCATGCTGACGGACCTCAAGAGTCCTAGCATGCGCATCGCGCTGCAACAGATCTATATCAATCTGTTTGTGGAATACGGTTTGTGTGGCTTATGGATCTCGTTTGGCAGGTTTGGATAGTGCTGACATATTTCGGTCTGTTTAGTGGTTAAGAATCCTCTTTCTCCGACCGAGCATCCCGGCGGTGTGGGCGTGAACAACGAGTTATTCGAGGAATCATTGGAGCAGTTTGTGGTACGTACATTTTAGTTCTGGCATGCTGCCTTTGTTGTTGACTTGTGTGTTCTGATCTGGTAGCAGACTCGAGTTCTGTCATGATATCGAACTGTGCATGCCTCGTGAAATCTGGGGGCCAGTTCGCGCGAAAGTCTAAGTGAAGGAAGGGAAATGCGACAGAATCTCACCGCTGGTACTTTCGAGGTTAGCATATACGAATCCGGTATCTCGAAGGCGTGAGAGCGGCATAGCTGGCACACACCGCAGCGGACTCGCCCGTTGTCAAGGATACTGTGATACGGATACCTGCATGCAACAGCACGTTGGCGAGAAATGAGATTACCGGAACACAGCACCGAAGCCAAGCACGACAGGGTTATGCATACCGCTTTTTCATGTGTGACTGCCATTCAATGAGACCGGTTTCCTTCCCACGTGGCATCTCCAGCGCCGCTAGTACGCTGTACGCTAGGGAAATGACAGTGCGGAGTTGGCCCGGGGGCGGCCCGCAGATAGCTCGGCTTCGCATATCAAGTGTTATGAACTAGGAATGCCGAACAGAGCTATTTGTTACTGGTGTTCGGGGACAGTCGGAAGAATGGATTACTGCTGATATTACGCAATATCCATGTGAATTGTCTCACTACAAGTTTCCGGTCATTAAAATGCCTGTTTATAATAAACCCGGGGTATAGGTCGTATAAATCAAAGAAATCCCGCAGCCACAACAACGCCATAAAAAAAGTCCAAATTAGATCCGGGTCTAGAGCGCTAGGCATACTCTTAATCCGAACAGCTATAGCCAAGCAGCACCGCCAAGAGCCAGCTTTCCCAACCGGCCCAACGTGGCTCGTGCGTCTGCTTCTGCATGGAGGAGCTGACCAGCGGATAGGTGCAGCCTCGAGAATCAAGTTCGAAGATAGATCATACGACACTAATTGGATCTCGCAATTGCTTTTTCCACCCACCGCACCAAGAAAAAGCAAAGCTCAATGCATATCGCAACGGAAAAGAAAACCCAGATACCCACAGACAGCTCCCAGCTCCAGGTCAGATCGTCCACATCCTGCATCCTGCATGACTTGGCCAAAGCACAGACGTCCACACAGACAGGTTTAGCACAACGTACATCCACAGCGGGATAAGAGCTGCAAACACAAAGACAAGCTCCGCCCCTTTCACCCGAGCTCTGCTGCTCCGTAGCGTAGCGCAGCGCATATATAGAAATGTAAGTAGTGCAGTTACTAGTGCATACCCATAGGCCACATACACGCACGCACGCAGGATAAAAACAATATAATGCCAACAGCTTATCTCGAGCTTTGACCATTTAGCAACGCGAGATAGGTGAGGTGTCGCGGTGCAAAGCCGACCAATCCTATAGGTTCGAGGCTGGGTGTGTGTCTTTCCTGCGACCACAGACTGGCGGTCAAGCATGCACCGGCTTGAATCGGAATTTGCGTTGCGGCCGGTGTTGGGTGGCTTTGTGGTTGTTCTTTTTTTTGCACTTAGCTCAACATGTGAACCGACCCGTGGACGCGGACCCCTGCCTCGAATGAACAGGGGTTTTATCGGATAGATGTGATCCTCGGGATCTTCGCTTTGCCAAGTATCTGCCATCCACGTATGCCGCGACGTAGGTTGTTCTCTTTTGTTTAGGATCCACCGCGTTCAAAGGTTCGTATACGGATACCCTGGATACTTCGGTGCAGGGTTGAACTTTGTGTACTGTAGGAGGCCCGGCCTCTGCCATCATATATATGTATAATGGGAACCCAGGGATTGGATAGCGGATTATGGCTTGCATTGGTGTAGACCAGGGGTCACGGGAGAGGCCTTTGGATTTTGCTTTCATCGCATATAACCTTAATGATATGCACCCTTTTGATCTTCTTGGCGTCTTAACTACGGGTTCGTTCCGGGTGAGCGAGTTAGTGTTGTGGCGTTATAGTAACTGGACGCGAGGATGCGGTAGAGGACAGCGAGCGAATGACTAGCACTTCATATGAATTTGAGCGCTAAATCCTAGCAATCAAGTTTGTATCTATTGTGTCAGGTTCATAATGGCATATCATCTGACATTTTGCAAGATAGCAGCGCCGCAGTCTCGGGCGACGCCATACGCCCCAATAATGATAAGCCCTCCTGTCAATCTATTGATAGCCAGCCATCTCAAATGGCTTTTGCGTCGACGTCAGTCAGGTATGCCATGATAGCGTCCAGAGGCTCAATGGAGTTGTCCGCTTTCCACTCTGAAATCCAATGTTTGTAGAGACTAGCAAGTAAACTCTGGAAGTTGCTATCTCGAGGTTGAGTAAACCGGCGTAAAGATTGAACATTCGCATTTAGATGGAACAATCGCCGAAGGCGGGGACTTTGGTGTAGAGAGGGGTTGTCTTTAGCCTCAATGTATGTGATATCGTAGAAATGCGCAAACGATGTTTCCCATTTCTAAGCTCTGAATGGGTCTTCTTGAATCATATCCGCGATGGCTCGGATGTCCATAGTGATATTACCGCGTGCTACGGTATTTCTCTCCTGGACTTCACTCAGACTTCTCGGATTACCTGACCACTCATCAAGGATTGGCCGACGGAAATAGAGAAACTGTCCTTCCAGTGCGGTAAGACGCTGCTCTAGCAGTTCCAGTGAAGAGAGGCCCATTGTATTGCCGATTCTTGCCTTCGAATAATTCAGGGTAAGCTCTCTGTCCCTGGTAAGCTGCTCGGATGCGACACTGGGATTGTATGCGACTCATACATCAGGATAGCTGTCCAGGGCTAGGTAATAATAAGGCTGATTTGCACTTCTGAATTCTGTTAGCTGGCTATCAAAAGTGATTGGACTTCAGAGATATGGCGTACTTGGGAGCAATTTTAATATGAAACGATTTCTATGAACGATAGAAATATGTTCAACCCGTGGTGGGCTTGAATCTTATTTGTTGAATTCATCTTGCTCGGCTTGCCCTTTGTTCTCGATATTGGCACCAAGATCTAACCAGGGGAATGCTTTGCGAGGTGAGGGGAAACCCTAAAAGAGATGAAAGCAAGAGCATCATAGAATAAATAGTCATCCGCTTTGAAATGAAGAGGGGTAGTAGTGAAAGGCTTGTTTATAGAAGTACATCTGTAGCTGCATATAATATTGATATAGAAGGCGTAGTACTGTATATTGTCCGTTGTACGTCGACGATGCATAACTAGTAACTTTGTGCTGTGGGAAATTGAGATGGGTTCCTAGGGCTGTGATTGGGTGAAAATGCCTCGTAGTGGTTAGTGCTGGATACGGAAGCTTGTGTGAGAAAGTGGAAATGCTGTTTTTTTCGTTACGTATGAGATTGAAACGGTCATTTTCACTTGATTGCTCCTCTGCAGCAGAACGTCTGACTCGATTCTTCTTCCTGTGTCCCGTGCCGAGGTCAGCACTAAGGGGCTTATTCGGAAATCGCCAGTAATCCGGGGTAAAACCAGCCATTGAATAACATTATTGAGTATACCGCTAGTTACCACCCCGTACTAGCTCCGAAACCAAGCCCGAGTTCAGTGCGAAGCTCATGCTAGTATGGAAATCCAAGACACTGTCAAGAATTGCCCCCACACGGACACACCAGGGATCCGAAGAGACGGTGAACATTCCGCATTCCACATTCCAAAGTAATAAGGCTGGACATATTCCCGTGCAGAAGTCATAGGGCTAAGAAAGGCGATATATTGTATTCTATTCGTTTCAAATTGAAACAGTCGAACATGGACATTGGTCAACCTGTACCACCCCGAGGCCCATCCCAAATGCCATCATTTGTCCGAATGACGCTAGATAGCGGAAAGCTACTTTAGTCTCTATTGTATTCCCCTATAACGTACTAGAGCATTATGTACATTGTACATCGCTGCGGGGGGTCTCCATCGCACAGAGACCCACGCGGTTTCCTCGCCCCGATGAAGAGGAGTGCATGATTGACCGACTATTATTATTACGTAGCAGCGATCGCGTAGCCATCACTGGCAGGAAGTAGGGTCCAGAAATGGGGTGTTTTGCTTTCGGAATGATCGAGTTGACCAGCTGGACAATGAAAGAAGCGAGTGAGCACGGGTATAAACGGAGGGATCTGACAATTGGTTGACAGGGGATTTAGGATTTACAGCCAACGAGGACAGTGTCCTTTGAGAACTGGGGTTACCTGGATTCGATTTACATACAGTGTGAATTTGTATTGTAGTACCTCGTCAAGTAAGAGGATGGTCTTCCATCACATACAGCTATGCCCTAAGTACAACTTTCAAATGATAATCCCCCACCTACCATATACAGTAAGAAAGCACGTCTAAAATATTCCCATTGTATGCTCCGGCTAATAGATCAACAGTATCCCCCCAATTAGATCGGATGAATGGATCTAAATGGATACCTCATACATCGGAAGTCCACAGGGCCTCGGGATAACCACAACCGCCACAAGTGCACCCAGCGTGTCGGCTTGGTGCGGGGCCTGATCGAATCATGACTGGGCTTCGTTGTGCAGACTGCACAGCCTCAGTCCTTTGGTGTGGTGGCGGAACTATCAAAGCTACTTCCCCTCTGTATTTCCAACGTTGTAAATTGTAGTAGCGATAGCAGTGTCCGTTGAATAGCGAATGAGTGCACATATACAGGAGGACGTCACCTTACCCAACGTCATTAATACCAGTGAAGAGAAAATAATATGATACTCCGTACATGTATCAAGCTTCTCAACGCGGCAGAGACCCAGTTCCAGTCTTGAAAAAAAAAAACCTGTACTTTCGTTACTCGACTTTATTATACTAATTACTTTAATTACTTTGGATTACTTCGCGGTTTCATTACCATTAAATCTCTCACCAAAAGAAATCAGTACTAAAGCCTCGGAACGGACCTCGGGAATCCTTTCCTCTATGAAAATGTACGCCACTATTAAAGAATGTGTGTGCAACTAAAATATATCTCGAAATATGTTATAGCCTAGATGTATCTAGATGTCTCTAGATGGCTCGACTTTACCGGTTAGGTCTCACAGCGCCGGAGTCACCGTATGCAGGATGCACTATGTAGCCCTATAGGTCAAGACCATAACGAAGTATTTGCAAGCATTAATAATCCTCGAGGGTAACCTATACCGTTGCAGTGCCCACATTTTCCCCCTTCTCTTGGAGTTGTCGAGTTATTTCACTTTTTATATTTCAATTTCATTTGAATTTTACAATTTTTTATGGGTTTAACTATGTAATATATTACCATACCAAAAAGAACCCCGTCGTATTTCAAGTTCTCTAGCATCGCCAAATTTATCCCACTTATTTCCCACTTGCTTCTCTTTCTTTTTAATTTTTCTTTTCTCTCTCCTCTTTTATTGCTTGTCTATATACCCTAGGGGCTCCTCGTTGCCAGCGGGCATCATTCTGGTGTGTGGTACTTCCAATATTTGCCGTGTCTCTTTGTGTCGTCACCTTTTGCCCTTGTTGCCTCAGGCCATCCATCTTAGGCCACCTACTTTTTTTTCTCTCGCCTCGCCTCCTCTTACTTCTCTCTATCCTTACCTTTAAGACAACTTCGATTCGCCGCAGCTTCGTGCGCGCTGTAGAAGCTCGTCTTCCATCCTGGGGCCGGAGAATTCTTGTGTCCACCCCCCATTATTCCAATCTTCACTTGTCGATCCACCGCACATGACTCCACCTTCCCCTTCACCTGTGCCTTCCGCAGTCTCTTCCGCCGCAGCCTCACAACATTCGCATGACCCTCCGGATGGAGATGCTTCGGTAGCACGCGCCCTGGCGGGCATGAATCTGGCTGCCCACGCAAACGGGGACGCTCTCCCTGCTCCGGCATTATCTTCCGCCGGCAAGCCGACTAAAGCTACTATGGCCGCTCGCCTCACTCGCATGTTCTCAACCACAGCGAAACACACAGCAAGTAAAGAGAATAACGACGTGCCGCGGGAACTATCCGACAGTAGCGTGGAAAGTATCCAGCCTATCAACGGCAAGACCTCGAAACCACCGTCTCAACCCGCCTCCGGACCGCCTTCTAGACCTCCATCAAGAGGAGAAAATTCCCGAACACCATCACGAAATCCCTCGCTCAAGAGCGAGCCCGTGGAAAAGGACAGGAAGAAAATGGATGAGAAAAAGACAAAAGATGGAGCTTTAGTCAACAAGCGATTTGAGGTTGTGTCGGAAGCTCTCGGCAACCATGTACACAACCTCAGAAGTGCTAGACGGCAAGAGAAGCTCACCGATCTATTGCGAGATATGATGGGTGGTAGCCGGAAAAAGGATGACCAGGCCGATGAGCAACAGCTGTCGCTGATGTCGACTTGGATTGATCAGTTCAAGACGGAGCGCGATAAGCTGGCTGCCGATAAGAAGGGTGGCCCGAACGCCACCGCGTCTCTGGTTGACAAGTACGGCAAGTGCCAGGAGATTGTCGGCCGCGGTGCCTTCGGTATCGTGCGCATCTCGCACAAGGTCGACCCCCAAGATTCCAAATGTGAACAGCTGTATGCTGTCAAGGAGTTCCGCCGCCGGCCGCAAGAAACGACCAAGAAGTATCAAAAACGTCTGACTTCGGAATTTTGCATCTCATCTTCCCTTCGTCACCCGAACGTCATTCACACTTTGGACCTCTTGCAAGATGCCAAGGGAGATTACTGTGAAGTCATGGAGTACTGCGCTGGTGGCGACCTGTACACCTTGGTCCTTGCTGCCGGCAAATTAGAAGTCGCCGAAGCCGACTGCTTTTTTAAGCAGTTGATGCGCGGTGTCGAGTATATGCATGAAATGGGTGTCGCACACCGCGACCTCAAGCCCGAAAATTTGCTTTTGACCACTCACGGAGCACTCAAGATCACCGATTTTGGTAATGGTGAATGCTTCCGTATGGCCTGGGAGAAGGAAGCCCATATGACCGCCGGACTCTGCGGCTCCGCCCCCTATATTGCCCCAGAGGAATACGTCGAGAAAGAATTCGATCCCCGAGCGGTTGATCTCTGGGCGACTGGAGTGATCTACATGGCCATGCGCACCGGGCGGCATCTTTGGCGTGTGGCACGCAAGGATGAAGACGAGTTCTACCAGCGGTACCTTGACGGTCGTAAACATGAAGATGGATACGCTCCGATTGAGACGTTACATCGAGTAAGAACAGCTAATCCCCCTCCTGCGGCCCCGGGGCAAAGACTTATAAATTCTCAGGCTCGTTGTCGCAACGTGATCTACTCCATCCTTGATCCCAATCCTTCTCGCCGCATCAATGCCTCACAGGTCCTCAAATCCGAATGGGTGCGCCAGATCAAGCTGTGTAAGGCCGGCGAGGAAGGGTTTTGATCGTTTCAACACGACAGTTGTCAGGTGTCGAGGTCACAGGCCCGCACCGTAAGGTTTGATGTGTCCGAAACTATTATTTTCCATTTGCATCACAGGGCGGTTATTTATTATAGACCCATTCAAGGAGAGGCTTACTGATTTTTAATCCTTTGAATGCTCCTAAACTAGAAGGAGGCCCCTAACGAAGGTTTTTTTTTTGCCTTTCTTTTCTTTTATCCTGTTTGGCTCCGGCGCATTCACAGTGTATCCCTCCAGCCTCTTCAGCCTGTCCTCTATTACATCGATCCACATTTTAGCTTGTCTTCTTGTCTGGATCCTCATGTCTTCAACGTCAATGCAACGAAGAATCATGACCCTTTTCTTTTGATCCGGTTTCCTTTACAGTCTTTCGGAGTTTCATCTCCGGTCTTTTTTTCGCGTTACGGGGTTTTTGGCAGGTACCTTCGAGTTTCTACGGCGTTGGCGGGAAATTCCCATTTGAATCTTTCTTCCCTTGTACCACTATGACGAACCCAGCCTTAGCGGGCGATGGGTATATTCTGACCTGGGTTGTTGATCCTGGATTCTGGTGTTTATATGATTGTAGGCAGAGGCTCTGCTGAAACAGCATCAGGAACAGGAATCGGCACCCAAGTGGGATGTCCTATACTGGAGGTCATCTGGACCTTTTTGCTTTGGCTTTTCGTCTCATTTCGACGTCGATTTCTAGTACATATTATCGACGCTTTTTGTATATATGGCTTAGGCATTTTGAATTCCCGTTATATGTGACTTGCTTCTACGTAGCAAGGTGCACATCGATTATCCCATACCAGGTTCGTTTCAAGGTCCTATTTCCCCTCTTACAACTAAAACGCATCTCTACTCAACCTCCGAGTTTCACAATCTACAAAAACCTATGACATCAACTCGAAGATCGGCGCCTTATCGACCCGATGCAAGGTCCACAAGTGTCACCGAGGCGATCCGCACAGCGCAGTAGATTAGCTCCGGTGTCTTTCCAACACACCAGGGCCAGTGATATCATTCAACCTGGAGGTTTTTTCCGATCAACGATAATAGCCCATGCATCCTCCATACGCTAGCGAGAAACAAGAAGGCCCAGCGGTCTGATGCAATCGAGTGTGTCATATTGTAGACTAGCGCAGTCTAACTAGTTAATCACACGAGAATAGTTGGCCGCGTTTACCGCCTCTGCCATTGAGCACGACCAATCCAGTTGGCTCAATATAGTATGGATTTGTTTTATAGATATCCTCTACCTGCTAACTTCTAAGTTTTCAAGGTAGACGGCAGAGAAAGACTTGAAACTACTCCGTACTTTTTTCTATGTACTCCATCCAACCTTTGATTATTCACACATGCATTTATAACTTCTAATTATCCACATACCTTGGGTCTGTACGGAGTAGTTACTCCGTATGGAACTCGGTAATATACAACACATGCAGCTAAAGAGGTGGATTCGGACTATGCGACTTCCTTCACCCAGATACCCAATCCAAGCAACCAACCCAAAAAATGGATTTCGAGTAAAATCTCGAGCAGACGGAAAATGCATTTGTTCGAGCTTGGCATTGTCATACAGCTGTCCGCCAAGAACTAACACATAACTCAGTTACTTAGGCATCAGCATTACGGCGTAGGCGAAGTGGACGAAGTGGATAAGAGGAATACCTCGATATGCACATGCCATGCAGGCGTATTGTCGCGGATGCAAGACCCAGCCTTACACTAACTATGGCGCTGTTTAAGGGGTAAGGGGTAATTATGCTAAAATGGGTTTTATTATTATCTCCCTCTTGAATGCTCGCCTACTAGCGTAAGCGGCTATATGCACCCGATCTGAGTAGGAATGTCACAACTCGATACTACCTATAGTTAACTATACAATATTTCGATTCATACCTTGGCACGATATACCGCGTATTACCAGTCGTGGATCTTCTGCAAAAAAACAGAGATACTACAGATCCTAGCAGAACCTGAATTGCAACGCTGGTGGATACTCCGTCGAACTCCAGCCCTACCAAACATGACGTGTCCGCATCCGGACGATATGACATAATCATCAGCACTCAGCCACACACAGCCACATCCGTAAGGCAGACCAAGTTGGCTACCTTGGCATTGGGTCCAGGACCTTCACGACTTTCCCTACAGTTCAACATCGGAGATTCTTCTCGACTGCAGCCAACTGCCATCATATACGACTTGCTTCTATTTCATACCCACTGACAGCCTATAACCCACACTCAACTCAAAGCCGATCTTCATCTCCGGATCCTCCGAACTAACACCGCCACCATGTCTTGGGCAGGTACGCCTCTTATCCTACAACCTCTCGGACTCATGAACCGGTGCCTGTGTGAGCGAATCTAACCGTGTGGATGGATAGGGTTCAAGAAAAATGTCAACCGTGCGACGACACAGGTGATGATGAAGACGGGTGAGTTTTGTTCGAGTTCTACCCCGCAATGAATCGAGATGAGGGCGATCCCGGATTGAGATACCCGCTACGCGCTACGATTTACTTGCCGCGCCCACGTGGATGCGAATGGTGTGTTGACTTGGTGGTTGTATAGGACATGTCGAGAGGACGAATGATCGCGATTATGAGATCGAGGAACGGTATGGTTGTCATTGCTGCTATCTGTGGATGGTTATACTGGGACTGGAATGGAACTGACGTTGCTCGTTGTAGTCGTTACCGGACTATGGAGACTGCTGCCAATCGGTTGCAGAAGGAGGCAAAGGGGTATCTTGATTCACTACGAGGTGGGTGCCCTTTGCTCTGCGGATTGTTAGATCTGCTTGTTCAAGGCTGACTTTTCCTAGCCATGACGGCGTCCCAAATGCGCATTGCGGAGACTATTGATGCCTTCTATGGCGACGCGGGAACAAAAGACGGTGTGAGCCGGAGCTACAAGCAAGCCGTTGAGGATCTTGATGCCGAGACCATTAAGGCATTGGATGGACCATACCGGTAAAAGATCCTTTCACTAACATTAACGAGCACACATGAATGGTGCTGACAAAATCCACAGTACCACCGTCCTCGACCCCATCTCCCGATTCTGCGCCTACTTCCCCGACGTGAACGAATGCATCAAGAAACGCAACCACAAGCTACTGGATTACGACGCCATGCGCGCCAAGGTCAAGAAGCTAGCCGAGAAGCCAGACAAGGATGTCACCAAACTGCCGCGGACCGAGCGCGAAGCCGAGATGGCCAAGCAGGCCTACGAGCAGCTGAATGAGCAGCTCTTCAACGAACTCCCCCAGCTTATCGACCTCCGTGTGCCCTACCTCGACCCCAGCTTCGAAGCTCTCGTCAAGATCCAGCTGCGCTTCTGTGCCGAGGCTTATTCCCGCATGGCGCAGGTGCAGCAGTATCTCGATGCCGAGACTCGTGACCAGTATGCCAAGGGTGATCTGGATAACCGGGTCGAGGAGGTGTTGCAGGAGATTCGCGATTTGAGCATAGCTGGAACCGTTTGAGTTGTTCTTTGAATCGACTACTCTATTAGCATAATACCGGATGTTCATTTGCTGCGCTGAGATCTGCGCCACAGACTGGCGTCTTTTTTTTTCTTTGCTTTTGTCGATAAAACATCGGCAGCTATCTCCTGTTTTCAACCAGGCGTTTTCTATGTATATGGTTAATACATCCACGAGCCAACTTTGACATTGCTCTTCATTACTTTCTTCACTTCCATGCCTTCGCTGCGCATATAACCAATCATGAGGGGCCATAAGCACTCTGCACATTGGCACATCAGACCTTCCCTGCAGGTCTGAAAAGCTCATCCCGAATAGTCCCCACCACCGGCATCGCAGCGGCCTGATAAGCCTTAAGCTCCTTATCGGTAACAGTCGCAAGCACATAGTCCGAAACAGCACCCGTATCATGTGACGACGGACGACCAATACCAATGCCAACGCGCAAGATGGAGAGATCCGCCAACGGCCCGGTGCCCGTCTTTTTCGCACCCGACGAGCGGGGATACAACCCCTTCTTGCGCAGCGTCTCACAGATACTGACGAGCCCGCGATGGCCGCGCAGACTAAACTCCTCAGGCCCGCCGCGTATGATGCGGACCTTGCCCATGGCGATGGAGAGCTCATCGTGGAGGATGATGAGGGTTGTTGGGTAGGTGGTTTGTGCGGGGAGGTTGTTTGGGGTTGGGGTTGTTGAAGACGAAGACGACGAGGCACGTGTTGCGGCAACGCTGGCGATTCGTTCAAGTCGGCTGGCGCGCTCGCTTGCCCATTGTTCTAGTCGGCGCACGAGTTTCGGGCCTGTTATGTTCATTTGTGTTGGGCTTTGCCATGTTTCGTGGTAGAGGCCTGTGTTTGGGAGGGTGACTTCGAGGAGGGGTTTTAGGGCATCGAGGAGGAGGTGTCCGGCGCTGTGGCGGGTGTTGTAGTAGGGCTTTGGATTGCCTATTGAGGCTATGAAGATGAGGCGCCGGGGGAGGATATCCATATTTCTAGGGAGGGAGGGTGTTTGGGTATGATGTACTTTGTTTAGTATTCTTTTTTTTTTTTTCTATTGTCATTGGCTCAGTTGCAGGAGATCGTCTCGTGACTTCCAAGGTTGGCTGATATCGGGGATAAGGAATTGTTTATCTCCATCAGTGGATGTTTATATAGTTCCTCGGACTCTATTTTGACGATCAAGACTTGATTTGTTATTTGATGCAATTTAAGTTCATCAGTAAAAGACCATCGAGTAGACAAGTTGCATCATGAGATATTCCAACGGGTACTGATCAAATATGTCTGGAATGAGCTCAACCCAATCTGGTTTCCGTTGACAATATATTGTCGAATTGCAGAAATCCCAAAACTCGGGATACCAGCCCGACAAATTCCAGTCAATAAGAGTCACTTTGAAGTCTGCATCTCCATTATTGTTGACCGTTCGCTCCACCATTACGTTCTTCCGCTGCAGATCTCCATGGGTAAAAACAATTCGATGGTCCTTGAGGGTTCGGTCGGCCATTCCTTGCACTAAGCGAGTGTGGTGCGGTGATTGCGTTTGGCCCAGCCTTTTCAATATTCCCTGATTCATCTGTTCTTGATTTGTGAATGGCCCAGAAATCACTGGGTTGTTATCTGGCGTTGCCAAAACACCGTCGAGGTAAGGCATGCCATTCAAGTTTCCAACCGGTGATGGTATTGCTCGTAATTCGTCGAAGGTCTCTTTGATCCGCTTGCTAACCGTCTTCTCGGCTGGGATGAGCGACGGGTGTAGTTTTTGCAAGCCGGCCCCAGGGATGAAATCCATAATGATATATCTCTTCTGGTTCTCTGGATCGACAAAGTTGGCATAGACCTTTGGCACGGAAACCATGCTGTTGGCCGCGACAAATTTTATGTTCTCTGCCTCTACAGGCGGAATCGCGTATCCAATCTTGACCGCGAAGCGTTCTCGCAGTCGAACCACTTTAATGGAATTGGTTCGTATACTGAGGATATCAGTCGAAGCCTCAATCTCCGCAACGGTGGGTAGGTCAATGTTCGAATCCATCGAATGCATCTCGTTGGTCACTTGGATGGACAACTTGAATGAATCAAAGATGTTAGCAACGCCATGTCATGTGACAAAATATTATTGGCCATCTTCGTACTTTTAGGGAGTTGGGTATGGATAGCCAATGAATGTATTTGTGCAAGTAACCAATCCAGAGCCGACGTGGCCTCTTATGACCTTCAGAGTATAAAGTTCATGGTGGTTTATAAGTAAATTTAGTCCATTGCAATGAAACCAGACAAGCTTTTGGATATAACTCCCTCGAACCCCATGCAAAACCGAATAACAACATAAAGAGACATTTACAGTTGGAACAGAGTTCTCGTCTTCTCCATTCCACCCTTCCATTCCCATTCCTGGCCACTGGCACGCTGGATGCCCTTATCAACACGACGCAGCTTCAAGGTGAAGCGAGGTCCTAGTTCCTGTAGACCGGTACGGATACCCTCAGCACCCACCATTTCCTTGCCGTCAGCACCGACGACAGCCTTCTCAGTCTCACGCTTCTCACGGAAGACGTAGCGGTGACGACGGACGAAAATGTAATCACGCTGGTTATGCAAAGTGACAACCTGTCGGCCTTCGAAATCCGGCTGGGGCGGGAAAAGTGTGCGGAACAAATGGGCAGTCAGAAGACCCAGAGGAGTACGGAAGTTATTGAGGATCAGCTCGGGCCAGTGCTCGGTGGCTCGGCCGTGTCCTGGAAGCCGCTTTCCGTCGATCCAGTTGCTGATGGTGAAGTGGAAAGTCGGGCCGACTGGCAAATGCACCATCGTTAGCCCAGAGGGTCGCTTCTGGTCTTCATTCAACACGATGACTGTGGTGAAATTACGGTTTGCCGCGAATTTGGAAATCTCACGGACTGAGAATTTGTGCGAGTACCGGTGGGCATTACGCCGGATATACACGCTGTTCGGGAACATCTCGGTCAGGGTTTCGGCTTGGTCGTGGAGGGTGGAGTTGAGGCCGGTAGTGATAAGGATTTTCGGGGTGGGTGGAGGTCCCTCGGTGAAAAGTGTAGGGAATTTGGCGGCCAATGCTTCAGGAGCGAGGCTGAGGTTTGTGCTGCGTGTTGACTGCGTAGGACTTGTGGCACGCTCTGTCGCAGTTCGGATAGAGGCCTTCTTCCGGCCGCGGCTGCCATCTTTGTCTTCGCCCTTTTCTTCGTCCTCATCTTCATCTTCATCTTCTTCGTTGTCTGACTCCAGCATACTGTCGACCGACTCAGCGTCTGATTCCGGAGCCTCGCTGTCATCCTCGCCCTCTTCCAATGGCCGATTGAGCTCGTCTTCTTCTTCTTTCTTGGCGCGCTTGATGCGCTCAACGTCAATGCTCAATCCCAGACCAGTTTCTTCGGTGTCGTTGTCGGCTTCGTTCCAGACACGTTTCCGCTCGAGAGTCAGAGGAATGTTGCGGCGAAGTCGCTCTTCCTTCAACTGGGGGTTCTTGGCTTCTTCTTTCTTGAAAGCGTAGCGCTCTTCTCGGCGCGCAGCATCTTTGGCTCTCTTGCGCTTGACATGGTTCATCTTCCGGCGCAGCTTGTTGCCGGTTTTAATATCTCCCATAACGCCCGGAGGCGGTCCAGATCGGCCAGGGACACCCATTTTTGAAAGCTGAGAGGGTAAAGTGCTGCTGTTGAAGGCAATGGAAAATGTAAAGATCGTCGAGAAATAAATTATTTCGGACAATCGTTTCCCCGGAGCGATAATCTGCGATTCGACCCCGGAGACCTCCTTTTTAGAAGGAAAATAAATAAAAAGAAAAAGAAAAAGACCGACCCAATTGGTCGTTCTGTCTCGTTCTATACTCCTTGTCTTTTGTCCTCTCGGTGGTGCCTGAGGGTTGCCCTGGTGCGTAGTGGATGACTCAATTGCCGCGCCTGCGATTTCCACCCCGCTCTTTTCTTTCCCCTCCGTCTCTCATTCGGACTCAGTTCAGGAATTACACCCCTCCCCCGAAGAGCTTGAAACGAAACGTCAAGATGGCCACCGTCAACACCAAGACCGGCCAGTCTATCGACCGCACGGTGCTGGACTCCATGCTCCGCCGTCGCATGTTCTACACCCCCTCCTTCGAAATTTACGGTGGTGTATCTGGTCTGTATGACTATGGCCCACCTGGAACCGCCTTGATCGCCAACATGACCGACTTGTGGCGCAAGCACTTCGTGCTCGAGGAGGACATGCTCGAGGTCGACACCACCATGTTGACCCCCCACGAGATTCTCAAGACCAGTGGGCACGTGGACAAGTTCGCCGACTGGATGTGCAAGGACCCTAAGACTGGCGAGATCTTCCGTGCTGACCACTTGGTTGAGGAGGTGCTCGAGGCCCGCCTCAAGGGAGACAAACAGGCGCGCGGCGAGAAAGTTGTGGTGGACGAGGAGAAGGAGGCCAAGAAGAAGAGAAAGGCCAAGGGCACCGAGGCTAAGAAGCTGGATGATGCTCTGGTCAAGGAGTACGAGGAGACCCTCGCACAAATTGACAACTACGGTGGCCCCGAGCTGGAGCAGCTCATCAAGAAGCACGACATTCGCAACCCCGTCACCGGCGGCGAGGTGTTGCCTCCAGTCTCCTTCAACCTCATGTTCCAGACCACTATTGGCCCTAGCGCCAACATGCCCGGTTACCTGCGTCCTGAGACCGCCCAGGGTCAATTCCTGAACTTCGCCAAGCTCCTGGAGTTCAACCAGCAGTCGATGCCGTTCGCCTCTGCCTCCATTGGCAAGTCCTTCCGTAACGAGATCTCTCCCCGCGCCGGTCTCCTGCGTGTGCGCGAGTTCCTCATGGCCGAGATTGAGCACTACGTCGACCCAGAGGGTGGCAAGAAGCACGCTCGCTTCGATGAGGTCAAGGATACTGAGCTGACCTTGCTTGACCGTAACGTGCAGCTGTCCGGAAGCACAAAGCTAACCAAAATGACCATCGGCAAGGCTGTTGAAACTGGCCTGGTCGACAACGAGACTTTGGGCTATTTCTTGGCCCGCATTCAGTCCTTCCTGTTGAAGCTGGGTGTTGACCCTACCAAGCTGCGCTTCCGTCAGCACATGGCCAATGAGATGGCTCACTACGCTACTGACTGCTGGGATGCCGAGTTGCTGACCAGCTACGGCTGGATTGAGTGTGTCGGTTGTGCTGACCGCTCCGCTTATGATCTGACTGTCCACCGGGAGAAGACCGGTGCCCCTCTTGTGGTGCGCCAAGCCCGTGCTGAGCCTCTGCGTATCGAGGAGTACCAGATTGAACTTGAGAAGAAGAAGTTTGGCCCTCGATTCAAGAAGGACGCCAAGACTGTCGAGGCGGCTGTTGAGGCTCTGTCCCAGGAGCTGCGCGAGAAGCTGTCTCTTGACCTCGAGAAGGACGGCAAGATTGAGGTCGATGTTGAGGGTGTTGGATCTGGCAAGGTTGAGATCGAAAAGGATCTGATCAAGATTGAGAAGCGCACTCGCGTTGAGAATGTCCGCGAGTACACCCCCAATGTGATCGAGCCGTCCTTCGGTATTGGACGTATTCTTTACAGTATCATTGAGCACTCCTACTGGTCCCGTGCCGGTGACGAAACCCGTGGTGTAAGCCTTCCTTTTTGCATTCTTTTCACATGAACGCTGGTACTGATACTCTATAGGTCCTTTCTTTCCCTCCCGCAGTTGCCCCCACTAAGGTCCTGCTGGTTCCTCTCTCCACCCACGCCTCCTTCAAGCCTCTGACCCAGCGTCTGACTTCGAAGCTGCGCAAGGCCGGTGTCTCCAACCGTGTCGATGACTCTTCCGCCAGTATCGGCAAGCGTTACTCTCGCAACGACGAGTTGGGCACACCCTTCGGTATTACCGTGGATTTCCAGTCCGTTCAAGACAACACCTTCACCCTGCGCGACCGCGATACCACCAAGCAGGTCCGTGCCAGCGAGGATGACATCCTGCAGGCTGTCAAGTCACTTGTTGAGGGTGACGAGACATGGGAGGATATCCGCAAGCGCCTGCCCGAGTTCACTTCTCAAGAAGTCGAGGCTTAAAATGCTTAGAGTGCATGATAAAATACTATTTACTTTTTTTTCGTCTCATCTTCTTCCCATACCAACTAAAATAGAGTAGTAGTCCTATCTTTGTAGATCTATACAATATAGTTTTCGCGCGGCAATCCCGGGTTACCGCGCCAAGAATCCGGGGCACCTCCGTCATCCCATCTGTCCTCTTTACACTCTGTTTTGTCGACAACAATGGCGCCCACCGTATACTCCGCTAAATTGACACTCTCGTGTCCGCTCTTCGCTGCGGACTTTGACCCGCGCAACAACGGTCGACTCCTAGTCGGTGGCGGAGGCGGCGAGGGGCGTAGTGGAGTTGGAAACAAGATCGCAAGTTCACCATTTCGAGAATATCCTCCCTCTGCAAATGCTAATCGTTGTTTTATGTACAGTCTCTGCTTGACACGTCACATCGAAATGAGATCACTGAAGTCGTCGAATTGAACCTATCACGCGATGAAGACTCGGTAACCTCGCTGGCTGCGGCCCCGCTGGCCAGCGACGAGGCGGGCTCGCTTGTTGCTCTGGCCGGTATAAATAGCTCTGTGGAGCAACAGAAAAAGAATAACAATCAGCACCTTCGCTCATTCCGGTTTGAGGCCCCACGGAAGACCACACAAAGCGCCGAAGACAGCGAGAAGGATGAGGCGAAAAAGGACACCAAGTCTAAGGAAGAGGTTATTCCCGGCAAGGCTATAGCTTTGTCGCAAGCATCACTCTTCCGAGGGAAGAATGGGCCAGGTCCTTCAGATACATATCAGCGAGTGACGAGACTCTCGCCGTGGCCGAAAGGGAAGGATGGCGCTGAGAAACACGCACGGATCGGAGCCGTTGCAACGGGTATGGCACCGTCCGGCGAGATTGTGTTCTTCCGCGTCACAGAGACGCCCAGTGAGAAGGATATCATTGGCCGCATCCAATTAAGCGGCAATGAAGAGGCCGAGGACCTGGACTTTGTCAAGCTCGAAGACGACTTGGGCAAGACCGATGATGCACACGGCCGGTTCCTTGTGGCATATACCACCGGCTCAGACGTCATGGTTGGCGAGATCTCCTCTAACAGCTCCCCCGAGGTCCGCTCCATTTATACTATTCCTCTGCCCGCTAGTGGAGCCCGCACAGCACGTCCCAAGTTCCGCGCGCTACGATTCCTCTCGCCTAGAACCCTGCTTCTCCTCCAAAATGCTCCAAATCGCGGTGGTAGCGAGCTCGTCCTCCTTCAACTCCCTAATGCCAAATCGAGCAAGTCCAAAATTCTACGACGTCGCAAGCTCCCTCGAACAGTGAAGATCGGCCTAGGAATCGATATCTGCCAACTCGGAACAAACCCGCAAGGCCAACAACAAACGGTTATCGCAGCCAGCGGCAGCGACAATTCCATCCCTATATTTACCTTGGAATACGGACCAAACCGCGGCTACAGTACTTTCCGCCCCTATACAACCCTCCGCGACGTGCACCCATTCTCAATGACAAAACTCACCTTCTCCACCTTCATCGCGCCGGCACACCCCGTAACCCCAGACGTCGGCCCGCAGAACATAAAGCTCGCCTCTGTCAGCATGGGCAACACAGTCGTCGTACACACATTCCCACTATCCCCCTTCCCAACTTCCTCCCGCACCCCACGCTACGTCCTCGTCACCCCAGGCCCCGCCGAAATCTGGGAACTAGTATACAGCATCATCATCCTACTATTCTCAATATCTGCAATCTGCGTAGCAATGCTTGCCTTCGCCGAGATCCGCGGCGGTACCCCGCCTGTCCTCGGTGCGACAGAATGGCTCCCAGACAGCATCCGCGGAGCCATCGCAAGGGAATACGTCATACCCCCACGGGATAAGCTGACATATTTCGATACACTTCTTGCGCCGCGCGCAAGCGGCAGTGATACCGATATCCCAGTGGCGACCTTCGGTCCCACAGACTCGCAGATTGAATCCCTCCGCGAGATCCTGGACCGCGTTCACCGCGCCGGTGCCGCACCCGCTGACCTGGAAACCCTCGCTCCGCAGTCCATCTCTGTCATCGTTCGGTGCGGTGAAGGGCAAGATGCTGAGCAGAGTGTGATTATTGAGACTGCTGCTTCTCTATCTGCGGACGAGTCCGAGCAGTTCGAGGAGGAGATGCTGCAAGCTTGGGAGGATCTGTCTGCGTCTGAGCAGAGTATTTGGAAACAGAGGCTTGTGGATGGGGGCCGTTGGACGGCTTCTGAGGACGAGAGTGATCTTGTTGGAGTCTTGTTTAGCAAGGTTTGTACGGTACAGTTGTGAGGGAGGAGTTGAACTGAATTTTTTTGGATGGAGGAGATATTGGAGGTCTTGGTTCCCTTTCGTTCCTTATGTCTTCTATATGAATTTTTATATACTCGTTTTACTTACGCTTGTCAATGACATATTACATCCAAGGATAATTGGTCGCATTTGCGGCCTCTCTCAGTTAACTCGAGGGTAGTCTCAAGGCGGGCTTCAATAAAATATTTGACATTAAAAATGGTATGGTAGTGGTCTCTGATATCAATCTCGATACAACGGTATTTAGATTATCCTAAGCCCCATTGTCTTGTCAAGGACAGAGGCAT